ATTTTGGCTTCTAATTAAAAAACAGAAGTGTTACTAGAATGTTTATTGTAAGTAGAACTTGCATTTTACTCTAGAATAAAGGAAATGAATTAGTAAGCCAGTAGTTGAATTTTGGTTATATTGTTTTAAAGCTTTTTCATGTTTATGTTATTTAACTTAAACAGAAATTGTTTTGTTTGAGTATACATGTGCTGTCATACGCCCCAGTACCCCATGACCATTCATGTCCTGGGAGAGACAGTGACAGAATTAGCATGACCTAGCCTTGGCTTTCTAGGCAGGTGGGCCCCAAATCAAGCTTCTCTTCAGAATTACTTGCTAAGTTTTTTTTTAAGATTTATTTATTCATTTTAGAGAGAGAGAGTTCACAAGCAGGGGTAAGGGCAGAGGGAGAGAGGGAGAGAGAGAATCTTAAGCAGACTCTGTGCTGAGCATGGAATGTAGGGCTCAGTCTCACAGCCCTGAGATCAAAACCTGAGCCAAAACCAAGAGTTAGACGCCTAACCGACGGAGCCACCCAGGCGCCCCTTAGTTTTTTAAAAGATGGATTCCTAGGCCTCAATACAGACCCACTGTATCATAATTTCCAGGGGTTCATTTTATAATCTGTCTTTTTTTTTTTTAACTTGGTAATGAATTCTACATACAGCCAGCTTTGGAAAACACTCTAGGCCTTAGTTCCCAGTCTGACCAAAAAGAATATCTGTCATCAGTATAACTGACTGCACCTTGAAAACTTTCTCATGGATAGGAGGATTATTCCATTTCACAATGCCCCAACATTGGCTCCAGCCATCCAGTGTTCTACAGACTGAGCCAGCCTGGCACCCCCATAATGCAATTCTTAATTACAGCATTGATACACTATAATTAGGAGTATGGTTTAAAAATTCTTATTCACATGTGGTTTTAGGAACCATACTGTGTCTTTGCGTTTCAAGTTGCTTGTTTCTTTCTGGACTCTGTCATCTTGCACATGTTATACTGATGTAATACTTTCTCTGTATAATGCTCTTATAATCTCACGCTCCTGGCCAAGCCAGTGCCATGAGGAACTAGCACATTTAGCAGGACTGGGTTCTTTTCCTTTTAGAGTGAATGGAAGAATGGCGTTTAAATGTCTTTAAAGGTGTTATATACTTGGGGCAGTTGTTTTGTGGAGGTGTGTTGGCTTTGTATGTGGTTAACGAAGCGTCATTTTCAGATGTCAGTGTTTGTTGGTTGAAGGAAAGTGGCCTTGGAGGTTCTCAGTCGGCTTTGTGCTATCGTGTCACTAGGTGGAGATGTAGCCTTGTTTAGCGGTGTAGCCCAAGCAAAGAGTGAGTCTTGATTTCTTGTCTCTTTACAAGATGACTTTGCACGTATTTGATGAGGTTCCTTTTACTCTAGGGAAAAACTTGTAAATTTAGTATAATTCTAAATTTCATTTTCTTTTATTAGAGTTTAAAATCAATCCTACTTTAATGTCTGTTTTCACACTGATCAACTCTGTTTTAAAAAATATTTTTTTCCTCTTAGTAACATGTCCTTTGTCCCTCGTTGTTTCATCTTGTCATAGTTATTCTAATGTCTCTGTGATTCTTTATAGTGGTTTAATTCTAAAAGTCTAATAAAATCAGAATTTTTACTTCGAGGTCAAATATTATGTAAAATTTTAATTCGGTAGCAATATGAAGTACATGAACCAAAATTTATAGTCTGAACATACCTGAATCTTATCTTTATATTATTTTAGGTTGACAGTGTCAAATTTTAATATATTTAAATTCTGTAGGGGTTACTTTTTCCCTCTTTCTTTCTTCTCTTCCTCTTGAATCTTTTGTTGTTGTTTTTTTTTTTAAAGATTTTATTTATTTATTTGACAGAGAGACAGCGAGAGAAGGAACCCAAGCAGGGGGAGTGGGAGAGGGAGAAGCAGGCCTCCTGCTGAGCAGGGAGCCCGACGCGGGGCTCGATCCCAGGACCCTGGGATCATGACCTGAGCCAAAGGCAGCCGCTTAATGACTGAGCCACCCAGGCACCCCTGTTCCTCTTGAATCTTAAGTATCTATGCACAGTATTGATGTGGAGGATTTAAAAAAAGTATAAGCCAGTCTCCAGAGACCTGGTGTCAGTTGAGAACATTGCAAACGAACCTACGAAGCATTTTAAAGTAATCTGAATATCTGATCTTTAGAAACTGTGAATGTGGAACTTTAAAAGAAAAATCTCACTTTGGAAAAGATTCTGGCTCTTCCTCAAATGTTTAAACATTGTGATACCTTATGATCAAGCAATTTTCCTCTCCTAGGGATATATCCAAGGGAAATGAAAACATATGTTCACCAAAAAAACTTGGACATGAATCTTCATAGCAGCATTATTCATAATAGCCACAAAGTGGAAACAACCCAAATGTCCCTCACCAGATGAATGGATAAACAAAATGTGCATATGTGCAGTGTCATACTATTCAGCTGTAAGGAGGAATGAAGTACTGACCCACGTTGAGACACGGATGACCCTTGAAGACACTCTGCTAAGTGAAAGAAGCCAGACACAGAAGACCACGTATTGTGTGATTCCACTTAACATAAAGTGTCCAGAATAGCAAATCTAGAGAGAGAAAGTAGACCTGTGGTTGCCGAGGGCTGGGTGGGGGGAAACGCTGACCAGCGGTCATGGAGTCTCTTTCCCCGGTGAGGACAGTGTGAAGTTGATGGTGGTGATGGATGAACGGCTGTGCACCTGTGCCGAACCACTGAATTGTGTACACTTTAAATGGATGACTGGCATGGGTATGAGAATTCGGTCTCAGTAAGGCTGGTTTAAAAATAAACTATCAAGAGGTTTAACATTTATCCAAGGAAGGAATGTGTATTGACCATCTAATAGAGATATACTAAGTTCTGTATGAGTTACAAATCCAGTGTAAGACAAACCCTGACCACAGATTGCTTACAGTACAAGAGAAAGGGCACCTGTGCAGTCTATAATCACCTTTGCTTTCTGAATGTTTCCCGGCTTTTGGGATGTAACTGCCTGAATTCTCTTCCAGCTATTTCTTTAAAGTCCTGATCTTCTTACCCTATGTCTTTTTTTTTCCCTTTCAAAAGCAAACTGTTGCTCCTCACACTTCGATAAATATCAGCCTGAATCTATTACCTTTAGCTAACTTAAAGGACATTTTTAAGCTATGGTAGTGTCCCCAGTAACTTAGAGTGTGTGGCTCATGGAAACCCATTCATTCAGCAAATACTTATTGATATTTCTTTACAAATAATTGGCAAATCTTAAAACTTTTGGCATTATTATTATTTAAAAAGGTATTTTAAAATTCTTTTTATTTCAACTGATGAACCAACATTGATATATTACTATTTTTTAAAGATTTATTTATTTATTTTAGAGAGAGAGCACAAGCGGGAGGGGCAGAGGGAGAGGGAGAGAGAATCTGAAGCAGACTCCACGCTGAGTGCAGAGCCCGACTCAGGGCTTACTCTCACGGCCCTGAGATCACGACCCGAGCTGAAACCAAGAGTTGGCCACTTAACCAGCTGTGCCACCCAGGCACCCCAACATTGATATATTAACTAAAGTCTCTAGATTACATTAAGGCTCACTCTTTGTGTTGTATAGTTCTCCTGGCTTTAACAAGTGCATAATGACATGTATCCACCATTGCAGTATCCTACAGAATAGTTTCACTGCCCTAAAAATGCCCCATGCTCTACCTATTCATCCCTGCCCCTCCTGCCTCCCCCTGAACCCTTGGAAACCACTGATCGTTTTACTGTCTCTATGGTTTTGCCTTTTCTAGAATGTCATATAGTTTTTTAATTAAGAAAGATATTTTTATGATTGAAGTATAGTTGACACACAATGTTACTTTCAGGTGTACAACATAGTACTTCAACAATTCTGTACATTACTCTTGTGTTCACCATAGTAAGTGTAGTCACCATCTGTCACCATGCAAATCATACCCACAAAAAAAATAGCACCTCACAGCAGTCGGAATGGTTAGTATCAGAATGACAAGAAATAACAAGTGTTGGTGCAGATGCAGAGAAAAGGGAACCCTCGTGCACTCTTTGGGGGAGTGTATTTGGTCCAGCTACTATGGAAAACAGTATGGAGGGTCCTTGAAAAACTGAAAATAGCGATACCGTATGATCCAGTAATTCCACTTCTGGGTATTTACCCACGGAAAACAAAGACGCTGATTCGAAGATATATGCACCCCTACATTTATTGCAGCATTATTCACAATAGCAGCCCAAGTGTCCATTGATAGATGAATGAATAAAGAAGTGGTATATACATACAATGGAATATTACTCAGCCATAAAAAAAAAACAAAAAGAATGAGGTCTTGCCATTCACGGCAACATGGATGGTCCTAGAGGGTACTATGCTAAGTGAGATAAGCCAGACAGAGAAAGACAAATGCCATATGATTTCACTTATATATGAAATCTAAAAAACAAAGCAAAAAAACAGACTCATAAATACAGGGAAACAACTGGTGGTTGCCAGAGGGGCAGGTGGGGGAGGGGTGAAATTGGTGAAGGGGATTAAGAGATACAACCTTCCAGTTATAAAATCATTAAGTCACAGAGATGTACAGCATAGGGGATATAGTCAATAATATTGTAACAACAAATATCTTTTTGCTGCAATTTAGTCAGGTTGCATGGTGTTCAGAAGTATAGTCTTGAGTTTATAGATTTTCATGGAAAATGCCTTTTAGGAATATTTAAAAGCTAAACAAATGTACGCTTAGTATAGAACTGGCCATATTGTCATTAGCGTGGTATTTTGATGTTGTTGTGGTCGTTAAATCTTTAATAAAAGAGGAGAAATTCTGGTTCAGTCATAATAATTCTATTATGGCCAAAAAAGACTAGTTTTTAAAAAGCAATAATTAATTGTGAATCCCTCAGGTTAGTAACTGTCCTGGTTTTGTTTATTTGTCTGTCTGCTTATGTCTAAAGCTAAACTTTTTTCTTTCTTTGCAGATGCCTATGAAACAGCCAAGATGCTGTGTGAACAGTATTACCTGGTAGCTCCAGAGCTGGAAGTCGAAGAATTCAATGGTAAAAGAAAAATCAATTTAACGTTACATACAAATAAGTTGACTAAAAATCTGATGATACCTGAGCTGTATTTCAGTGACAGCCTCAAATTATGCTGCTTTTTCATCTTTTATTTCTTTTTAAAGCCTTTCTATCTCTTTGGTCACCTAGGTATATTGTTGTAAGGAGTTTTTGTACAGGAGTATGTACAAAATTTGCGCTCAGAGTTCTTGGAACAGAAGTTATCAAGGTAGAAAGTGCACAAGCATATGAATAGGCAGTTCTCAAAACAACAAATGCCAAGCAGCAGTAAACATATGGAAACGTGTTTAATAAATCAGAGGAGTACAAACAAAAATGGAGAAATGCCAGTTTTGACTTTGAAAATGGCAGTGATTATAATGTTGTCATGCTCTGAATTGGTGCCTAGAAAAATACTCTCTCAACAACACTTACACATTTCTGGTATAAGTTTAAATTAATACAGCCTTTCTCCAAAAATGCTAGCAGTGTCCTTTCTCTTGGCCCAGTAAATTAAAATTCAGTAACGGTCATATTCTTTGGTCCGGTAAATTAAACTTCAGAAAATTTATTATGAGAAAATAAAAGTGTACACAGATGTATGTACAAGAATAACAATCACAATGGTTTTCTTAAACAGAAAAATTAGAAAACAACCCATGTTTTCCACAATAGAAGATTATTTAAATAAATTGTGGTATGTCCATAGGTTAGAATACTAAGCAGCCATTCAAAATAACGCTTTAAAAGAATATTGAATGTATGGAAAAAGTTGAGTTTTTTTAAACACAGGCTATCGAAGTTTGTAGTGGCGTAAGTTCAGTGGAAAGTATCTTGAAGGATACAAACAACAGCTTTCTGGATGGTAGGGTTATAGCTGATTGTTATCTTAGTCATATGATTCTATATTTATTTGCATGTTACCTTTATTCATTTGTCAGTTATGAGAGACATGCTCGTTGGAAAAATACAAACAATACAGAATGTAGAGTAAGAAGTGAAAGTCCCCTTTCCTTTCGGTGCTGCGGCCGCAGCCATGAGTATGCTCAGGCTTCAGAAGAGGCTTGCCCCCAGTGTCCTCTGCTGTGGCAAAAAGAAGGTCTGGTTGGACCCCAGCGAGACCAATGGAATCACCAATGCCAGCTCCCATCAGCAGATCTGAAAACTGATCGAAGATGGGCTGATCATCCGGAAGCCTGTGACTGTCCGTTCCCAGGCTCAGTACCGTAAAAACACTTTGGCCCGCCAGAAGGGCAGACATACGGGCACTGGGAAGAGAAAAGGTACTGCCAATGCTCGGATGCCTGAGAAGGTAACCCGGATGAGGAGGGTGAATCTAGGAAGATCGACCGCCACATGTACCACAGCCTGTACCCGAAAGTGAAGGGGAACGTGTTCAAGAACAGGCAGATTCTCATGGAACACATCCACAAGCTGAAGGCCGACAAGGCTCGCAAGAAGCTTCTGGCTGACCAGGCTGAGGCCCGCAGATCTAAGACCAAGGAGGCTCACAAGCACCATGAAGAGCAGCTCCAAGCCAAGAAGGAGGAAATCATCAAGACTCTGTCCAAGGAGGAAGAGATGAAGAAATAAAACTCCCTCTCTTTTGTCTGTACATAGTGGCCTCGGCAGTAACACAGATCAGTTATTCAATGAAACCAACCTTTATCTGCCAAAAAAAAAAAAGAAGTGGAAGTCCCCTTACTCTCTCAGGACCATACAGAGCTTTGTTTTTTTTACGTAAATGGGGTTGAAACTATACATGTTCTGTAACTGGTATTCTTGACTTCGCCTTGAAGATCTTTGCATGTATTAATGTCACGTAGAGATTATCCACAGTGTAGATTGCCATTATTTAGTCATTTACCATTGAGCGGACATTTAGGATTTCTAATTTTCCCATATTCTTTATAATGAACAGTGAAGGGTGTGTCTGTGTCTGTAGGGTGGGAAAATTGTGAACACGTGGAAGCATTTCTGTAGGTTGGGTCCTTAGAAGTGGAATGACTGAATCTTACATACGGTGTGGGCGTTTACAATTAAAGATCAACCAAATTCCCTCTCAAAAATATGCCAAAAATGTATTTTGCTTATAATGAGATCAACATGTGAAAAGACGTGAGACTGTTGTTGTAGGACAGTTGCCCCTACATTCTCCTAGAAGGTATGGAATCAGAGCTGCTTTGTAAGTCTCTTGGGTTCTCTGAGCAGAGTTGTGCCCATATTTTGGATCAATACACTGCCAGAAGTGAATGCACTTCGCTTGAGTATTCCTGAGTAGAAGCATCTCAGTCTTCTCTCTTCGTCATACTGGCTAAGTGAGGCCTGACCTCACCGTGCACACTTCTCTTTGTCAAACACGGAACTTAAATTCGCAGGTAGTAACCAATTGCTCTTTTGCATGAATGGCAGCCTGAGTCACCGTAAAGGCCAGAGCGGCTAGCCTGCTCTTGCTGATTCCCAGCAGTCAGCTGTGTCACACAGTTCTTCTCAGTGAGGCTGTCACACTGGGCAGTGCACCTTACCAGGAGAGGAGATTAACGACTATTTTTGGCACTGTCTCATGCATGATTTTTGAAGCCCCCTTTCCCATCACTAAGATAAATGAATGCTGCTGGTTATAGGCAGCCTCTAGTTTCCTGTTGCTTTGCGCAATGTGTTTATGATTTCTCTTTATGATTTTCTGAATGGCAGATCTCTTTGGGGGCAAGGCTAAAGGCTGTGCTTCAGCTCTAACAAGTTCCGTGGGAGAGATGCAGGTCAGAGGTTGGTCCTGAACACCTTAAGTAGATGTCACTTTATAGAGAGTGGATGTTTCCCACAGCGTGTCGCCTATCTCAGCTTTCCTGGAAGGAAATCCATCAGATCCAGATTCCCATGACTCATTTTCAGAGCCCGTGTGAACTAGCAGAGCTGCTGCTTTCACGTTGCTTCCATTACCCAATGGGCGCCTTGAACAGGCGTGAGTAACAGCACTGCCCTCTGCTCTGCACTTGAGAGTAGTGAGGCTGCCGCTAGCCCGAGAGAAGCTGTGGTGCTTCCTGAGAATCGTTCCATTAGTTTGACATACCATCTTTCATTCTGAATCTTTGGGGGTTTTTTTCTTTGCCATTGTAGACCCCTGAGAAACTAGTGAATACGACCATGGATAACATACTACATGAACACCATCAGTATTTACCAGTCATCACTAGAATTCTGGATATTGGGAGCCAGCTCGAATGAACTTCCTTTATTAGCCATTTAATAGCACTTAACAGGAGCATTAGAAATAACAGGTGTTTATCTTCTATCAGGTTTCAGATTTTTCCGACTCGCCCCCGGTGGCAACCCACGTTGGTTTCTCCAGAGACAAGCATCCATTTTGTCACAGTTGTTCTCATTTTAGCTTTATGATTCTCCTGAGAAATCACTTGCCAAAACATTAAGCAAAGATACCTCTTTTTTTTTTTTTTTTAAACCTGTTTTGGATCCTTCTGGTGAAGGTGAGGCAGCATGGCTCAGAGGAATGGTGTGCGCTTTATAGCCAGCCAGGTGGTGGGGGGAACGCGAGGAGCGACTTCCTTGTCTGTAAGATCGCCTTGTGTGGTGATAAAAGGGTACTGTTTCTCGGGCCTTAAATACAGCACCAGACACAAACTGGGTATTTTTAAAAGGGTGGCTCCTGGAAGTCAGGGTTGACTTGGGAATGATAAGACTTATGGTTACTACTTGCATTTCTTCACCATTTCTAGATTAGTCTTTCCTGTCAAGAGGTTCATTCATACCTCTGGGTTTGGTGGGCAACATGAAAACTTCGAGTCAGGGGCTCCTGGGTGGCTCAGTCATTAAGCGTCTGCCTTCGGCTCAGGTCATGGTCTCAGGGTCCTGGGATCGAGTCCTGCATCGGGCTCCCTGCTCAGTGCAGAGCCTGCTTCTTTCTCTCCCTCTGCCTGCTGTTCCCCTTGCTTGTGCTCTGTGTGTGTGTGTGTGTGTGTGTGTGTGTGTGTGTGAAATGAATAAATAAAATCTTTAAAAAGTTTTTAAAAAAGAAAACTTCAAGTCATACTATATATACTTTGTTATAAGAGGGTTTACAGGGGCGTCAGGGTGGCTCAGTCGGTTAAGCAGCTGACACTGGATTTCAGCTCAGGTCATGATCTCAGGGTCGTGGGATCGAGCCCTGTGCCTGGCTCCACACTCAGTGAGGAGTCTGCTTGTCTCTCTCCCTCTGCTCTTCCCCCTGCTTGCACTCTCTTGCTCTCTCTATCTCCAAAATAAATAAATAAAATCTTTTTTTTTTTTTTTAAAAAAGAGGGTTCACAGGGGCGCCTGGGTGGCTCAGTTGTTAAGTGTCTGCCTTCGGCTCAGGTCATGATCCCAGGGTCCTGGGATCAAGCCCTGCATCGGGCTCCCTGCTCGGCGGGGAGTCTGCTTCTCCCTCTCCCACTCCCCCTGCTTGTGTTCCCTCTCTCGCTGTGTCTCTCTCTGTCAAATAAATAAAATCTTTTTTAAAAAAAAAGAAAGAGGGTTCACAGAAAAGGTGTGTATCTGTCCTGGGATCTTTGATTTCTAGTTTCCCTATATTGGATACTTTTGTGGGTATTTTCAGTCAAGGGGTCCTATACAACAGTTGAAAAGCCATTGCTGGTAGTCCTGTTAACACCATAAAGTTAATCTTTTAGTAATGATACTAGCCAACATTTATTGACTACTTACGTTGTGGCAGGCTCTTTGTAAACTAGTTTATCACTATTATCCCATTTAATCCTTATATTAACCCAATGGGATATGTATTGTGCCCATATCAGATATGGAACACTGAGGCTCAGATGTTTTCAATACCTATTAGTGTGTCTATTAAATGCCAGAATCAGGAATTACTCCCAGTATGACTTTGAACCATACTGTGTACTGTTTCTAATAGCCTTATCCATTGACTTTGGGACTTGATTAATCATCTCTAAGTGCCCAGCTACCTTTTCTCTTAAATGCATTTCTTTTCTGCTTAGCCTCTAGTTTTTTCATTTTTATAGGAGAACTGTCCTATAAGATTCCAAATAAAATTCTTTGTATCCCATGTGGAGTTTTGTTGGTATTCATTAAATGTTGTTTCAGCTAATGGTTTTTGAAGCAATGACTCTGTAAAATAGAGACTTGATTATTTCTTGAGTCTTGAGCATGAAAAACCTGGGCCATTTTTTTCCACTTACTTTTAAAAATGTACCCTTTGATGGAACATTCATATTGCATTTGTGCTCTATTTTAGAAAGTTAATAAACATCTATTAAGGGTCCACTACATAAAAGCCTTTGGACCCAGGATTAGGTTAAGAGTCATGGACAAAAGCATTGGACTTGGTTTTAAAAGGAAGGAAAGACATCTAACCTATAATGTTCCCAAAGAAAATAAAAGTACAAGTAATTGAGTAAGCCTACAGATGACTCCTAGAGAATGTTGGTCCAAGTGAAAAGAAAAAAAATATCAAAGATTAGATCTGGAAAAAGATTTGGAGTGAAAGGTTGAATTCAGAAGGCTGTTTATATAACTAATCATGCCTTTTGGTACAAGATAGCCTGAGTGTTCAACTTGTTCCTGGGGATCCATTAAAATGACAATAAAGGAATACAAAGAAAAACAGCAAAGAAACCAGGAGCAGTCATCAGTGGACCACTGGTCCTACCTCCTGCCAGAGGGTAAACCGATGGAGGTCTGCTGATCATGGACTGAGCAGAAGAAGCCACAAAGGAGAGGCTGCAGCAAAGATGCGGGGACCCTGGGAGCAGAGCCAGTAGGTGCAAAGCATTAGAAAGGGAAGCCAAAAGGCAGGGGTCAGTTGAAAGCTGGTCTAAGGCAGAGCACCGGTGGGCTTGGGCTGTGCTCTGCCTACAGTCAGTCACAAGCATTTTTCCTGGGGCAGAAATTAAAAATAGGAGTACTTTCTTCAAGAATAACCTTGGAAAAAGTGGGGCTGTTCACATACCTGTTGTTAGCCCAAAGTAAAGCCCTCTTCATTGAGAATTTGGGGCACCCTCCGGTCAGAAGCCAGCTTACTGTCTGCCCATCCTAAAGTCACTTGAGAAGTCTTGACCAGATACGCAGGGCTCCAAGTCAGCCTTCTCCTTTAGTTGAGGGCCCCAGGGGGAAATGAACACCGGCTCCCTCAAATGATTCATCCAGTTCCTCATTCTTCAAGAAGAGTATAACTACCAAGGTCTATCAGACCTCGGGCAACACCCAGCAGCATGAGGAAAACCTGACTAGCATTAAACTTACCAGCTGCACTGTCATGGCCAGGAGACTACCTCTCCCCCCCGCTCCCCCGCCCCCGCTTTCTAAATTCTGAGAGAAAATGATTTTGAATGCAGAATTTTGTGCTAAGCCAAACCTTCAAGTGAGTCAGAGGTGTAAGGATTGAGAAATTTATTTCCCAAGGGCACCTCTCTGAGGTAGGGTACTTGACTGACTTGATGGTGTATATAATATGGACATAAGAAATAGTGAAGAACATACTAGAACTTCATTCAAAAACAGTTTGAAAATGATGGCTATGCAGCATGTTTGGAAGGCAATCAATTCTAATTTGAAAAATCTTAAAGAATGAAATGGATACCATGCACTAGAATAGAAGCTGGAAGATCTCAGTGATACGGTGCAGAGAGCATGTTTCTTATCCAGTTACCGAAGAGGAAGGGTAGTTAGAAGATCCAGGAAACAAAACTGTAAGAAGGGCACAGTCCAAATATTCAGTAACCGAAAAAAAGGGTAGCATGATTTTGAGATGTGGGTGGAGGATTAAGAGAATCCATTTCACCTTAAGGCCGAGAACATTCTTCTTCATGTCACCCATGAAGCGTCATTGGAATCACAGGGAAGGAAATGTTGTTCAACTACACTGTCGTGGCTGCCCTGCAGTGATCCATATTTACCTAGTTATGATGTTTCCAACACTGTCAATTTTCAGCCTTTTTAAAAAAAAAGATTTTATTTATTTGAGCGGGAGAGAGCCTGAGTTGGGGGGGGGCGGAGGGACAAGCAGACTCCCCACTGAGCACAGAGCCTGATGCAGAGCTCCATCCCAGGACCCTGAGATCAGGACCTGAGCCGAAGGCAGATGTTTAACCGCCTGAGCCACCCAGGTGCCCCTTAATTTTCAGCTTTTGAAAAAAAACCTATAGACAGAGTACAGAAGAGTTCATTAGGCTTGCAGACCAGAATGGAAATACTGTCAACCAAAAGACTAAAGCAGAAATAGTAGCAAGTGGCTGCCTCCGAGTGCAGACTGGGGGATGAGATGGGAAATGGTAGAAGGACTTTTACTTTTTTTCTTTTTTAGAAATTTCATTTCTTTCTTTATTTTACTGAATAATTTCAAAAGTAATCATCAAGGAGTTCAGGATTCGGAGTCACAAACTCTTGGTTCAGTTGTCCCATTTCAGGCCTCTTCTGCTTCAGCAGGCAAGTCACATAACCTCTGCACAGCCTGTGTCCTCACCTATAACCTACCTTCCCTGTGAGCCACACTGTAGTGTCATGAGGATTCACTTGGATAATGCATATGTAAGCTTTTCATCAACTGCTAAGAGCCTAACAAATGTTTGCTCTACTTTATATCCCTGTTACTTACTTTATTAGAGGAAGTAGTTAGGTCAGGTCGAAAATTATAACATGGGTGACTATGTCTCTGTTCTACTGGAGAATGTTCATGTAGTAGTTTCAGTCTTTTAAGTGATTTTGGGTCATGAGGAGGAAGGACCAAATTTTCCACCATCTACTTTATAGCCCACGCTGTTCTTAGTGCCTGACATGGGATGCAGTGTTTCTCGTATTTTCCTCCGGAGATCCCTGATGCAAGGAGAAAGGGCTTTGGGTCTCTGGAGGGCATGGTTGTGGGCGGGGGGGGGGGTTGTCTGCTAGCTACTAGTAGAAAAGTTATGTGAACCTTAAATTCTACTCTGTAATATGTCTTGTCTGTTGAAATTGGACAGAGTTAACATTGCTCCTTAGTCTAGTCTGCCAAGAAGATGCACCCCTTTCCCTCTGTGGCTTCACATTCCCCATGATGACCACTGGGGTCACCACTGGGGGTGGTGTCGCCGAATTTGAAAAACACTGAGTGATATTTAGATGACTTATATAATGCTCAGAATATTACGACATACATGATAATATTCCAATTTTGCTCAGCCAAGGTTCAGAGAGATTGAGTAACCTGCCCAAGGTCACATGGCTGGTAAGTGAAGGAGCCGGATTTCTCCCTGGGTTTGTTGGACTTCCAAGCATTTGCTTTTTCTCAGCCCTGCCTTTAGAGGTGGAAACCTAAATTAGCCTTTCGTGTAGAGTTCTTTTTTATGTACTTGGAAAATAGAATGCCAGCCACATTCTTGACTTTCTTATAGTTTTGGTCCTTATTCATTGATGGTCTTTGTGTCTGTTTTCAGCCAAAGCTCCAGACAAACCTATTCAGGTAGTTTATGTGCCCTCACACCTGTTTCACATGCTATTTGAGTTGTTCAAGGTAAGTGGAATTTAAAAACACGGAAAGAAGTCTTCATTTTAAATTACTTTGATTCAAGGCATAATGGATTCATTAGATTAGCATAAGAAAAAGGTTTTGCATAACCATTTTAAAACTTCTATTTCTGATACCCTGTGGGTTTTATCATTTGTACACTGTGAGATGAAAAATTGCTGTGTATGGTATAGTTTTCGTGAATATTAGTACATATTGATTTTGAAGCTTAATTGTACCGTAGTGATTTTATGTAAAAATCCATACTGTTTTTTCTTCAGTTATGAGATTAGAGATGCTTTTTAGTTTCCAAACCTGGCAAAGGCTTTATTGATGGTAGCCAGATCAAAATAAATACATGTGTTTGCATATTTATGTTTCCGAACATTAAGCACGTTGGTGCGTCAACAGTTCTTTTCCTACCGAGAGACCCCATAACCCTTTTACGTATTTGAGTCCATTCAGAAGCTCTGATGGAAGCAGAGGGGAAAGATGGTGAGGGGCTGGACCAAAAAGAGGGACCCCCCACACAAAAAAAGCACAAAACCTCTTTAGATTCTCTATGGCTTAGCTGTTGCTTTTGTTAATCAGTAGCTCCTGGCATTTCTAAGAGCAGTATTATAGGCACAAGGTGTTTAAGCTACAATTTCATTTCTTCCGATGTGTAAAACCCTAAATTGAACACCTGAAAAATCAGTTATGCTGATTTGCTTCCCAAAATTATAATGTCACTGATGTAACACTTTAAGGTTGAGATGGGCATTCAATTGTGAACTTTCTCTTCAACAGCTGTGGCTTTTTCAGAATTTCTTTTTAACTGACATTGCTTCTGCGTTTTTGTTTGTTTTTTTTCCAGCCAAATGATTAATTTCTGTGGGAAGCATGAATACTCTCAGGTTTTCCGCCTTCTTTAGAGGAAAGGTGCTCTGTAAATGCAGACTGATAAGGATTTAAAGTGCATCAATGAGCCTCTGCAGCCTCCTTACATGCGATAAAAACATTCCTCTTGGTTAAGAGTTGAATAACTTAAATACCCTAAGGCAAAAACAAAAAGAGAAAAGAAAGAAAAAAAAATACCTAGTATGATGGATGGAAATAAAACTAGATGAAATCAAAATAAAGCATCGGGCAATTTTTCCTTGATCCAAACACACATTTAGCTAAGTTCTTTAGAGGAAAAAAAATGGTGTATAAATCCAACTAATATTTGCTCCACAAAAGCGTTATTGTGTAATAAGTAATCCTGTGCTAGTTTCTTTTTTTAAATTGTGGTTTGTGAGTCAATGGTATGCTACAAAAAAAGCCTTATTATTTCAGAACTCAATGAGAGCAACAGTCGAACTATATGAAGACAGAAAAGAAGCCTACCCATCTGTTAAAACCCTTGTTACTCTGGGTAAAGAAGACTTGTCCATTAAGGTAACTGCTTTATTTGCACATATACTTTATCAGTTAATTTAATAGTAACCCAGACCTTGAGGAATCCGAGGGAAGAGAAGAAAATGCACCCTGCATGTCTTATTTGTATGTACCACGTTAGATCTTTGGCTTGTTACCTCATTTAAACTTATCGAGCCCCATTTTTCAGGAAGCTGAACAAGACCTCGGCCCAAGTCTGTCGGATTCTAGTGCCCTTCCCTGACTCCTTTGTTTTAGGTCGTTCACAGTGGAACCATATTTCCCTGGGGGATTCAAAGCCCTTGTACATTTTAGAGTTACCTGGTATGTACTTTAATGAACTTCCTGCTTCGTACTAAGTATAGATTGACTTTTAAAAAACCCATTTTGTACATTACAGATAAGTGACCTAGGTGGTGGTGTCCCACTTCGAAAAATAGACCGTCTTTTTAACTACATGTATTCAACTGCTCCTAGACCTAGCCTGGAGCCTACAAGAGCCGCCCCTCTGGTAAGCATCTTAAAGTGCTGCTTAAGGAAAGACCATTAACACGAGAAGGGCCTCCAGCAGAGTGGCCTTTCTCCCTGGCTCCTTACCCTAGCCTCTTTGAATTCGAATGTTTCCTGCATGATTTGGAGGACTGCTACTTTCTTTGTGAATCCTTTGGACTTAGATTTTCTAATTTTGTCCAAGAAACACTCAGAGCTGAGTACCTCACTTCCTAATGTAGAGAAAAAGCACTTCCCTTTGGTTCCGACTGCTGCGGGAGCACCATTCCCCGCCTGGTGCTACCCTCAGAGGGGGTAGAAGGTTAATAGCCGGCGAGCAAAGTTGCCGCAGAATGCTTACGGCTGCCGCGTGGTCCTGGGCACTTGGGTACTGCGCACTGTGGAGACCCAGATCACCCGGGGCCTTTGAACTTCCCCATCACATCTGTTTATGTAATTAGAATGTTAGATTATGAACACATTAAATTTTGTATAGTAAACAGCATAAGGAGGGAACATATAGGTGGCGTATGTATTTTCTGAGCCCTTTCTGTCTCGGCTCTATTAGGCAGTGAGAAAAGCCTCAGGTTACCATGGCAGCATTTAGATCCTGCTAGGGCCACACTTTGTTCCCCTGCTGAGTGTTTCTAATTGACAAACAACAGTTGAACCCTTTGTCATTAAACACAGCAACATATCTATCAGTCTGCAAAATGGTTGAGGGTGCAAATTAAGTTTCATTTTCAAGTCCTACCTGACTGATAAGCACGTGAGATTATATTTTATTTGTATGAATAAAATCCAACACTTTGCATCATTTATTCGAGACAGAGTTTGTTAACTCAACATTTTGAAAATGGAGAAGTCATTTTTTATAGGAGTCAAGAAAATTCTTGAAAGATCAGCTTTGAAAGGCATTGCCTTCACCAGGCTCTGGTACCTACTTAAGTAAATGTAGAGAAAGAAAAAAAGAAAAAAAAAAAAACACTGCAAGCAAATCTGGAGCCTTCCCCAGTTGTTTGAAAGGACTGTGGATCCTCTATTCAAGGTCTCAAGAGAGCAATTTGCAGACAGCTGTTCCGTCATCTTTTTTAAAAAAATGAAACTGAATTGATGTAAGAGACCTTAAAATATTATGTATCTAACCTCCCATTTTATAGATGAGAAAATAAGGTTAGCGCCTTGCCCAAGGTCATTGCACTCATTAGGGCACAGCCGCCACTGGTCGTGTCCGCGTTCTTTCCCAGGTCCCATACGGCCTCTCCTTTTGAAGAAAGGCTTCCACTAGCATCTGTCCCAATTATCAACTGTATATATCCCCAACTCCTGTCAGATCTTTTGATACCCTGGGAAAACCTGGATGAACCTCACCCAATCCGAGTTAGAGACCCCTCTTCTGTGTTCTCACAGCTTACCTGGCTCCTCACACCCACGACGGTATTGGGCTCAGGCGTTCTCCGCTGTTCCCTGGTAGACCTGAGGGCAGACAATGGGCCTTGCTGGAATGTAGGAGGCGGATTTCCTTGGCGTCTTCCTAGAGTATTCTGGTTTCTTTGCTGTGGTGACCGCATTCATCATCATGGATATGTTGTCCTCACCACCAGCCGTATTCTGCCAGTACTAAAGCCCTGGAATGACAGCGCACTCGGTCATACCCAACCCTTTGAGTTAGGCCCTGCCCTGAGGAAGGAATCTAGGAAAGATGTTTGCAAATGGTAGAAATCCATGTAACCTGGTCAAATTGTTGCCCTGTAGTAGCCGTAATAGCAGCTTCCGTTTATTTACTTTTACTAGGTCTTTAGGCACTGTGTCAAGACTTGACACTTGTTATATTATTTAATCCTCAGAGCAGTTCTGAGGGAAGCTTTTTATTAAATCTTCAGATGACAAAATAGTCTCAGAGAGGTTGAGTAAACTGCTCAGAGTGGATTTCTACTTAGGTCTCTCTGAGCCTAAAGCCCGCGCAGCCTCTGCTCTACGAGCGCATTACCCCACTGCCTCCCTCATTAACCTAGTCACGGAATTCTATCAGAGGGGCCAAAGCTTGAGGCACTGAATCTGCCCCTCCACTCCACACTTACTGAGATTAGTCTCAGTAAGTTCTTACTGTTCTTGCAATTTCTGAGACCTTTTCTTTTTCCAACAACCTGTTACATTCAGGGTTCTAGGACATGAAGATATAGGAGGGTTACTGGAATTGTTTTCTTTTCTCTAAACATATGTGATCTACCATATATCAAAATATATCAGCATTCCCGGAACCTTAGGAAGTAGACTCTCAGGAAATGTTCTTTTCAGTGTAGTAGCCTGGGTACTGGTAGATTTGAACTCTTGTGCTACTCAATTTAATTTTCACTTCAGAGAGCAAGAAAATCTGATAATGGAACTTTGGGATGATGTGGTTTAGTTTTGTTACCAGTTCAAATTCCACTTGATTTGGAATTTGCTTTAAAAATGCCAGCAGTTTACTGTAAAATGCTAAAAAAGCATTAGTCAAAACTTGGAGTATTTCTAATATTTTCCAAACATAAAAGAAGTATTTTTGCGAAAATAGATTGTTTGCCCTAAATGAGTATACACATCATTGTAAAGGGTGGATCAATAATTTATCTGCTTTAAACCGGAATTAAGAATTCCTTTTAATTGGGGTGCCTGGGTGGCTCAGGCAGTTGGGCATCCAACTCTTGATTTTGGCTCATGATCTCAGGGTCCTGGGATCGGCCCTGCGTCGGGCTCCCCACTCAGGGGAGTCTGCTGAAGGATTCTCTCTCTCCCTTTCCTGCTCGTGCTCTCCCTTGCTCTCGCTCTCTAAATAAATAAATTTTTAAAAGAGAATTTTACTTTTCCTGAATAGTCCTCATACCAAGTATGTTAGCATTTGTGCATGTCTCATTGTATTAATTTTCTTTTCTCGATAGGCTGGATTTGGTTATGGCTTGCCAATTTCTCGTCTGTATGCTAGATATTTCCAAGGAGATCTAAAACTCTATTCCATGGAAGGAGTCGGTACTGATGCTGTCATTTATTTAAAGGTACTGTACTTTATTAGTTATATGAAGACATCTTTACTTTTGAAAGCTTTATAATAACTAATGGAGAATAGCCCTACATCATCTCTTAGGTGCCATTTCAGATTTACTTCAGTTTTATGGGAAAACCAGGGTATGTCCTGCCCTTGATTTTATGCTCAGAGATAGCAAAATACGAAACGTGGAGATGTAAAAACTAAAACACTGATTTTTAAAGCCGTGATTCTTACTTGTGATTCCTTTTAAATTGCATAAGCATTGACAGGACTAATCTAAAAGGAGACAGATTTTCATAAACTGAAGTGTTTGAGTCTTTTACTTTAAAACTCGCTGGCTTTCCCAGAGTTCCAAGAATTCAGTAATCATAGTACGGTGATATAAATAGGCTGATTTAATAACAAAGCTCCTGTAACAGGTTTTCTCATGCATTGGTGGCATCAGACTTTTATTTATTTCTAAAGTCTGGAATATTTGGAGGATTTCTTGAATAGGTAATACAGGCACATAGTACAAAATTGAGAAGCTACAAAAGGGAAAACTTAAGTCTTTCCCACCACTGTCTCTAAGGCACCCACTTCTCTTTCCCAGAGGTTACCATGGTACCAGGTTCTCATGGAGCCTCCTGGAGTTGATTCTGTATTGATGAACATATGGGGGGAGATAATTTTTTCCCGCACAATGATTATTTCAGCATTTTGCTTTTCCTTCTTTTTTTTTTTTTTTAGCTTTCCCATATAGCTTGGAGATCTCGCTATATCCATTCATACAGAGCTGGTCATTCTTTTTAAGAGCCGTGTAGTGTGTTATGTGTTGTATGTCATGTGTTATACCATTACTTAACCAGTTATTTGGAGTGTTTATCTTAGATGCCAGTGCATCAAAATGATGTGATATTTGATATCACCTTATGGGCTTATGTTTATAAACTTACTATGTACGAAACTTTATTTCTTTTTTTTTTTTTAAAGATTTTATTTATTTATTTGAGAGAGAGAGAATGAGAGATAGCACGAGAGGGAAGAGGGCGAGAGGGAGAAGCAGACTCCCCGCCGAGCAGGGAGCCCGATGTGGGACTCGATCCCGGGACTCCAGGATCATGACCTGAGCCGAAGGCAGTTGCTTAACCAACTGAGCCACCCAGGCGCCCCCGAAACTTTATTTCTGTATGGGCCCTCTGGGAGAGCAATTGGCCAGTGATAGTGATAGTGCTTGGCCTAAGACCATATAGTCAAGATGATTGAGTATCTCAAAGCAGTATTAACTGAAGTAAAATGCTTTTTCTTCTGCTTACTTTATGTACTTTAGTACTGGTTTTAAATGAATGAATGTTTTTGTTCCTTTAAAAGAGCTTTAATTTCATCCTGGCCAGTCTAAGTTAACTATGAAAATTTAACTTTAATATAATTCCAAAAATATGCATTAAGGTTTCTAATGTTTTAAATAGTAAAATTTGGGTTAGTATTTCATGTGAGAAAAATGACACTGTGGTTCTTTGGTGTATATTTTTGTTTGTCTCTTAGGCACTTTCAAGTGAATCATTTGAGAGACTTCCGGTTTTTAATAAGTCTGCGTGGCGTCATTACAAGACCACACCCGAAGCTGATGACTGGAGCAATCCCAGCAGAGAACCTAGGGATGCCTCAAAATACAAGGCGAAACAGTAATTTCCCACTTTGCTTTCTATTATAAAGTATCTGATTTTTCTCTAGAATGTACCAGCCAGATGATACCTTTAGCCAAATCTTCTTTGTGGTTTTTTTTCCCCCCCACACTGGAAGAGCAAAGTGATCTCTAAAGAAAGGTTGGAGCAGCTTTTTCACTCCAGACAGGAAGGACAGCAAGAACCAGGTAGCCAGAGTAGCCCTTCCACTAGAGGTGCTGATGTTCTAGGAGTCCTTATACTGTGGAGGTATTAACAACAGTGAGCAAGGTTTATCCTGCCATAGATTTGATTTTAAAAGTAAGCTTTGCAATTTATCATCACCTATAGAGATCGACAGGAGAGTGTTTAGAGAAAGTCTGTGCGTGGGTTGAATCTGAAAAAAAATAAAGAAGTTAAAATTATCAGTCAAGATAAACAAGATGTGGTTTATCCATACAACGGAAAAGGACACGGACTTTATGAGTCCACTTAAGTGAGGTATCGAGCAAAGTCAAACTCATAGAGACAGAAGGTAGAATGGTTGCCAAGGGCAGGGGGAATGAGGAGTTAGTGTTTAATGGGTATAGAGTTTCCGTTGGGAAGATGACAAGGTTCTGGAGGTGGATGGTGGTGATGGTTGCACAACACTGTGAATGTACTTAACGCCACTGAATTGTGCACTTAAAAACAGCCATTTCTTACCATCTTACCAGATAGCAAAAGTTATGTATAGTTTACCACAATAAATAAATGAAAACAGAAAAATTCAAACTAATCACAGAACAACAGATTTCACTACTTTATGGTAATAAGGGCAACAATTCAATCTTCGGTTTCCAATTATTTTTTCTTCTTAGAGAGAGAGAGAGCGTGTGCGTGCACACGCATGAGCATGGGGGAGGGGCAGAGGGAGAGAGAATCCCAAGCAGGTGCCGTGCTGAGTGGGGAGCCTGACATAGGGCTGAACCCCAGGACTCTGAGATCATCACCTGAGCCAAAATCAAGAGTCAGATGCTTACCCGACTGAGCCACCCAGGCACCCCCATTTGGGTACCTTTTGAAGTACAGTGTCTCCTGACAAGGCAGGATAAGAATTTAAATCTTTCCCTTTAATTACCAATTTTCAAGGTTAGAAGTTGAGGTAAAATCCACCTTCAACGGTAACAAATGAGTTTTGGCTTTCTCTTTTTCGAGCATTATTATGGATAATATAGACTTTCCTTCAGTATGTTTCAATTAGAACTTAACACACGCACACACACACACACATATATATATATAAAGTGCACAAGTCTTAAGTTTATAGCCTGACACATTTTTGCATTTATATTTCTAGCACCTGGAAAGCCTCCCCTTTCTGATCAGACTCTTCCCCCTTTAGCATTCCCACCATGTAGCCATTATTCTGACTCTGTCACCCATTCTTATAACTGACTCTATCACTTCTTAAACTTAAAAGGAACATGTAGTATCTTTTTGTGTCTCGATTTCTGTGAGGTTCATCCATGTTATTGCATGTAGCAGCTATCTTTTTGATGATTAAATTGGCACACCTTTGGCCATTGGTAATTATTTTGAGTCAGATCCTTGGTAACTATTTCGAGTCAGATCCTCGGCATTCCTTTGCTTAAACCCTACTGATCTTTGAAAGCTTTTTCTGGCCCAAGATGGTATCTCGGTCATCTTACACCTTCCCTGCCTCCATCCTAGAATCAGCCATTTCCCTCAAGGAGTCCTATTTGCCTCTAACAGGTATTAGAGACCCTTATCTGGAAGTTGGGGGTGTATATTATACCTTGTCTAGTCCCCTTTTCTGGACAGAACCATACAATACATATTTTTAAATCATAAGTTCATATCGATATTTTCAATTTGATTTTAACATTGCAATATTTCACCCAAATGTAATTTAATTGTGCATATTTCTTCTTATCCTGAAAACCTTGATTCTTAACATAATGCGAAAGAAAGGTATTTGTATGCAAATATAGTTGACATAGCTTTGTGATTTTGCCCCATTATAGTAGTGTTGGTCTTTTCTGATGAATGATATAAAGGGTATCTCTGTTGATATTTTTCTCTATGGAAGCATTGTGATGGACCTCTGTACAGTATTGCTGGACCAGTCATTCATCTCCATAGAGGAGTTTGGTTTGTGCACGTGAGTGCAAACGTACACATGGCTGTGCATACAGACATACACATACCATCCCTGGCCAAGATTAAGCTAAATCAGCTTGAAACAATTGGATCCATTTCCCTTGATTACATTTTCAGTCTCTTGTGTCAGGTGACATGTTGGGCATCACTGTGACCGATTAATGCAAGCTATTGCTCTGCTGGAGGGAGTTATTTGGGTAGTACAGAAGCAGTCTTTATAAATAATATGGTCCATTTGGACTGTAAAAAGATGGCTTTAATTGAATCTTGTTTTAAATGCCATTTTAAATAGTTTAGCAGGTTGTATACTAATTATGAGTCTTGATTTCTAATATATTATTAGGTAAACAAGTTTTAGCAGAAAGCAGTGTTTAAAATTGGAAAATGGTTAGCCTGATGATTAAAATTGTTAAATTATACAAATAGGATAATTGATGGTGATCTTGGGAAAGTATTTAGTGTAGCTGTGGTAAATTCACTAGGTGAATGAGAAATGCTGTAAAAATGTATTTTCTAATCAGATTTTTTTTCCTTTTTTTTGGCTTTATAAGTTTTTATTTTTTTATTTTTTTTAAGATTTTATTTATTTATTTGAGAGAGAGAGAATGAGAGAGAGCATGAGAGGGAAGAGGGCCAGAGGGAGAAGCAGACTCCCTGCTGAGGAGGGAGCCCGATGTGGGACTCGATCCCAGGACTCCGGGATTATAACCCAAGCCGAAGGCAGTTGCTTAACAATCTGAGCCACCCAGGCACCCCTATAAGTTTTTATTTTAATTCCATTTAGTTAACGTGCTGTGTAATATTAGTTTCAACAATACAATATAGTTATTCAGCACTTCCACATATCACTCGGTGCTCATCACAACCTACTTGGATTTTTAATAACAGTTTTATTGAGATATAATTCACATACCCCATAAAATTCACCCCCTTAAAGTGTACAGTTTTAGTGTATTCACAGAGTGTGCGACCCTCACTACTGTCTAATTTGAGAATATTTGTAACATCTCAGAAAGAAACCCTGTACCCATTAGCACTCATTCCTCATTTCTGATTAGGTTTTTAACTGAGAGTAAAGAACTGTTTTTAAAGATTTTATTTATTTATTTGTCAGAGAGAGAGACCACGCGCACAAAAAGGGGAAGGGGCAGGCAGAACAGGCAGAGGGAGAAGCAGGCTCCCCGCTGAGCAGGGAGCCCGATGCGGGACTCGATCCCAGGATCCTGGGATCATGACCTGAGCCGAAGGCAGACACTCAACCGACCAAGCCACCCAGGCGTCCCAGTAATTCTCTTTCTGTAGTAACCATAGAGAATAATTCTGAGATAAGTCAAAGCTTTTTGAATTGTCACTGTAACTAAATGCTCTGAGTACATCTTGGTTAAATAGAGAAGGCTGTACTCAAACTCACTATGGATATCCCTGTTATTTTCTTTGTAGGGACAAGATCAAGACTAATAGAACTTTCTAGAGAACTGAATGCTCATGTCCTCTCTGAGAAGAAAGATTGTCTTCTGCAAGTCAACCAGAGAGAACTCCTTTCCTCCACCAACTCTGAGCAAGGCACCATAGTACTCCAGCGCTTGAATGTGTAATTTCTCTATATGAGCTGGACCTTTTCCACAAAAACCTTCCTATAGCTGCTCCAGATCTTGACTAAAGTAGTAACCCGAGCAGTTTTTCCTAGTACATTGCTGTGGTTTGGTTGGCGCCTGTCGTAAAAGAGCACAGAGCCTCGTTAGTGCTCTGGTGCCCTCATACCTCCCTCCTCCTTGTCATAGAGTCGAGTGTCTACATTCTCCCCAGGAGTCTAAGCTCCTTCCTCATTCCACATACAGCCAGTTTCTGCGGTTGCTCTTTGTGACCAAACACCATGGTTTTCCAAACCACTGACTAAGGCCTGGGTGATCTGGAAGTTGAAGACACCAGCAGAGTGTGTCTTGAATAATTCAGTCCCGGGGCCCTTCCTCTCTCATATGCGTCCTTCCTCACTCTGTGATTTCAACTTTTGCCTTCTTCCATCTGATCAGAGTGAGGTGCGGCAACTTTCACATTAGCTCTTACTCTCTGATGCATTGATTTTATTTTAAAATTCATTTGTGTACTTCCGTTCTGTCAATTAAAGCATTCCAAAAGTTGTCTTGGGATTTTTCACTTAACCCCTTGGTTTCAAAGATCTTAAGTGAAAAACTACCTTCCGGTCATTGTCGAGTTTGTGAAAAGTGGGAAGAGGCATTTTATGCTACGTAGAAATTTTGCCAATCTACTTATCATATTCTGTTCCTTTGTAGTTTTCTGAGGAATTGGAAGTCCCTGTGTGATGCACTTTACTAGTGTAAAAATCGGCTATTGAAGGGAAAAGCTCTTTCTAGTTTATTTTGAAAAATGCCCTTGGTTTTCATAATTTTCATTTTTGTGACTTTTTGGCCAGTTTTAGAATCGTCGATCTGATTTTCATACTCCTTTACTTTTTTGCTGAAAGCCGGACTGGGCAGAGGCCTTGGGGTGAGGAAAGAGAAGCAGGGTTGTGTTGACCCCTCAACAACAGAAGCCTTCCAAGAGCCTGGATTAAAGGCCCAATTTATACTGCTCCACAGGATGTGGTTCTCTTCACTGTAATTTTTCATATCATCTACTCTGCCTTCTCTTGACGCCCATATAAATGCTTCCATCCAATAGTTAAGTATTGAGTGCACTGGTGGAAAAGTTGTCCTTTGTAAAGTATTCCCCTCCTTGAGTGCCATGGCGGTGGTGGTGTTTTCTCCGCTGGGGCCCCCAGGGTAGGAGGGGTCTCCCTGGGATGAGTTGTGCTCTGACCAGCTGCACATGGGTCAGTGGCGGCCCTCTCTCTTCGTTCC